TTTCCGTCCTCAGGCTTCAGGGCATGAACTGAATCCCAGCTGGGGTCAGGAAAAAACTCTCCCGTCGCCTGGATTGAACTGCACACTGAGCTGCATTATTAGGTGGTTAATGCCTTCTTTCGATGCATCCTGCACTGGCCGCTCTGAGATGGGGTCTGGGTCTAGACCCACCAGGGGATTCCTACGTCCGTAGACACTTGGGCCAGGCTGAGTTCTGTATACAGCAATACCCCCTGCAGGAGGAAAGGAAGCAAGGCTGGTGCTTGGATGTAGAGGAGAGAGATGCTCTCTGCTGTCCTAGCTGGGGTCCCGTTAAGAATTAGTTGGGTTAATTTAGCTTGCTAGCAGAGCATTGGATGGCCTTGGCCCTAGAGAAGGGGAGCTCTCTCAGCTCTGCACAGAACTGGGCCAGGGAGCTGATGGAAGTGCTAGGTGCTTGGCCTTTTCTCCAGCCCGGGGGCTTCCTGACAGCCTTTCCCCAGATTTACCACCCTTTGGGATGAGTTAATCTGAAGTCGTCGTCATTCGTTACATATGTTATAGCTGCATAAACCAGGCTAGCCTCTGCGGATGCACGCATGGCTTTCTGGTGGGCGAAGCTCTGGAGCGCTAACCGCAGGGACAAAATGGGGAGCTCTGGGTACGTGCGTGCTGTGTGTGCATTCAGGTTGGTGTATGTACACTTCCATAGGGAGGCTTGACACTCTACTCCCAAGACCGACTCTTCTTCCTGACCCCCTCACCTCCCAGGATGGGCTCTTGTCCTGAGTCCTTCAAGGTCCGCCCTGCCCTCTCTTCCTCCTTGCTTGTTGCTTTGTCTCGTTGCTAAGGACCCGGCTGCCGCTCACGCTTTACATGTGCGGTGTCTGACATGTAGGCGTGATCAGGCCGGGAGGTGTCACTCGTTGAGCCTGGGAGTGGTGAGTCTCTGGGGACCACGTGCCAGGATCACTGGCCCCGCACGCATGTAGCTGGATAGGGGATAACAGCATGGGTGTGTCAGAGGACAAGGCTCTGGTGGTGCCTTTATACCCCACCCCGATTCTTCGCAATCCGCTCCACTTTTTCCATCCTCTTCCTCCCCAGCGCTGCCAGTTCCCCGGATATTAATGTTGTTAGCTGTAATTGATCATCTCCTATGCTATAGCTACATGTGTACTGGCAATGCTGTGGTCCCACTCTGCCAGCTGCAGAATGGGGCGCAAAGGGCAGCGTGAGACCTGGCTTTTCAGACGGTTGTTTCTGTGCCTGTGCTGGCAGGTAGCGTCCTTGCATCGCTGTTCCTGGAAAGGCAAGCACAGTCTCTCCTTTGAGGGGCAGCTGGTATTTGAGGCAGGGGGCAGCTACCATGCTAAGTTACTCCTTGATTAAAGATCCTAATCTCCAGGTCTCCCAACATAAAGGCAACCCGGCCCTGCCCAACTCCAGCTCCCAACCAGCTTTTTCCTTTCCTATTCCTTGGGTGCCACCAGCTCACAGACCTATGACGATGGAATGAGCAGCAGGTTAATGAGCTGCTGCTTCTTGAGAACTAGGTTGAAACCCTGATAGGTCACAAATGATATGAGTCTGGCCCAGTCTCAGCCTTGCTCGTGTTTTTGCACATCTCAAAAAGCACCCATGATTGGCAGTTTCTGCTCAGGAGCGGCCCAGGAATGGAGGCAGGAGGGGAGGCTGCAGGGCAGGAGCGTGATGCATTCATCGAGCTGGGGGGTGCAGATCGGAACTGGGCTATGCCGACAGGGCTGCAGGTGGGAGCCCAGAACTGCAATCTCTGGGGGCGCTGCAGGCTAGCATTGAAATGCATTGGCAGAGCTGTGTGCGGGTGCCCTGGAAGGGGATAGCAGGAGGCGCTGTGGGTCAGGGGGATTAAGCAGCCTTGGCACAACCATGTACGCCAAGTGGCTGTAAGCCTCTGCAATGCTCTGCTGAGGAGCTGGTAGCATCTCAATAGGTGTCAATAGACACACACCCGCTCTATTTATAACTCTGACAACAGGCCAGAGCTACTTGGCTGGGGGAGCTAATCCCTTACACTGCTCCTCTTTGTCTCCTGCTCCCCGGCTGCTTCCTGCTGGCGGATGCACACGCTTCCCATTCTAGTGCAGCAACTGGAGGCAGTACCCCAGCACAGAGGGCACTTGCGGGGCAATAGCTGGGTTTGTCAGCCAAATGGTTACTACTGGGCCATGCACAGTGCAAGCTCTCCCCTTTCCCTAGAGTCCTGCCCCGGACATCGTGATCTGTGGGGCTGCCTAGACAGTAAAACCCTATGGCACTAAAGGTGCAGGAGAAGGATGGCCTGGTGGTTGGAGTGCATGCTGGGGATGTGGGAGACCAGGGTTCTACCACAGCCGCCTTGTGTGACTTGGGGCAAATTACTTAACCTCTCTCTGCCTCGGTTCCTTATCTGTACGATGGGGGTAATAGCACTACCCTGCTTCTTAGGGGCGTTGTGAGGCTACAGACATTAGACCGGAAGGGGCTCAGATACTGCAACGATGGAGGCTAGATAAGTACCATAGATGGACGTGTTGCACCTACATACAAGGAGGTATGTGGACAGGCGTTTGCATGGCTAGTCTAGGGTTCAAGAGCCAGCATGCCCCCCTCCCCTCAGTGGGTCTGAGAGCCAACCCGCTCCCCTCTGCTTCAGTGCTTAATTTGTAATGAAAGAGGTGCTGGGGCTCAAGCAAGTGTTTTACATTCATAACTGATGCAGCAAGCCCAGAGAGACTGGGGCTATGAACTGCCAAGCTAAGAACTGCCAGGGCTCAGCCCTGGCACAAAGTAAGCACTGCTGTGCTCCCTGGCGACTGTGGATAAATCTGAACCCTGACACGAGGCTGGTGATTTGGAAGGAGTGAATGGAAGCCCATGGGAAGTGTCCATGCTCTGCTCCTCGGGACAGGATTGGGCCTGCGTCTGTCTGTCTCCCCCCGGGAGCCGTCCCGCCTGTGCAGAAACACAGGTTGTTCCTGGCAACCGTTAGGAATGTGTTCGCATCTGGCCGGAGAGAGATGCTGCCATTGAAGAGGCATGCACTTGTGAAATGGGGCAGCTGCCTGCCCTGCCCAGAGCTGGGGAACAAGGAGAGGAGTGTGAGGTCCCCGCTGCCTCTGGAAGGCATCCAGGGATCAGGAATACATGCTTCTGGGGCAGGGTGGGTCTTCCAGGGGTGCGCTAGGTGACTTTGCTGATTTAACAGCCTCCGGGAAATTAATCTGGGTCATGACATTCGGCGAGCAAATGGGAGAGCCGGGGTCTCGTTAGAACCAGGGCTAACGCCGCCAGGGAAATTCACAGTGCAGCTCCCTGCTTCCCGCCTACTTATTATTCCGGGCAAGTAGAGCACAGAGCACAAGTTATGAACACTGCGGCACTGGAAAGTTCCCCTTTGAACACAGCCCTCTCAACGGCCCCACAACCAGCAGCTCTGCCGGCTTGGGGTGCATTCGTGGGTGTGGGGAGACACCAGAAGGCTTGTGGGATGGATATAAGGGTGGCCAGGCAAGCTAAGGTTAGGTACGCAGGTGGGAGTGCAGTTGACTATGGTGGGCTCGCAGCCTAGCTGGTTGGTATTGGGGGTGTGGGGTGGGGGGAGACCCTGTGGGCTCCATGCCCAGCTGGTGGGGAGTTTAGGGCTGATGTGTGGGGGGGGCGGGGGATGAGAGGACCTGGAGTTAGGGGAGGGGACCTGGTGGCCTCAGAACCCTTGGCTAAGGTTCAAGGTAGCTGGTGGCCAAGTGCCCAGCTGGCAGAGCAGTGAGTGGCTGCTCGTGTCCCACCCCACTGGAGCAGAATAGCTCTGATTTAAACACCATATTCAAAAGAGTTTCCCTCCCCCCCTCCCCCCCACACACAACGCGCACCCTGGCGTGATTTGGAAACAGTACCCAGTTCCTGTGCTCTTATTTGGTTCCAAGCCCGCGTCAGAGGCACCAGCTGGGCTGGGGAACAGGCCTGGAGAGGCAAGGCAGGTGTGAAATCAAGAAAGGATGGTGTCAGCACTTGCATCCCATCCACCAGCTAATCTCTGTCTCCCCCCCCCCCGCATCAGCCAGTCTTAGGGATGACATCACAACTAAAAGGGGCTCGGAACTGGATTTTTCTAATTAGCAGGGAAGCGCTGCATTGCATGATTCAAGGACTTTTGAGGGTCTCAGCCACTCTTGATTTTTTTTCTCTCTTCCCTTTTGCATCAGCTGCCTGAGTCCTGGGTGATGACCTATATCTGTAGCCAGCCCTGTCACACAAGGCACCTGGGTAATAACTTTTCCCTTCTATTCAAGGATTTACAAACACTCTTAACACATGCTAATTACTAAGCCTTGAATCTCCACACCAGGCAAAAACTAACTGAGGCACAGGGAGGTGAAGTGACTTGCCCAAGGTAGCACAGTGAGCCAGCGGCAGAACTGAACATTAAGCCTAGGACTCCTGATTGCCGTTCCCCTGCTCTAACCACTAAAGAACGCTCCCTCCTTGAGCTGAGAATCCATCCCAGCAATCCTGGCTCTCCTCTCCTCTGTTCTAAGCACTAGAAGTCACTCACTCCAAGAGCCACGAACCCTGGTTTCCTAACACCCAGGCCCCTACTCTAACCACAATCACGTCCTCCCCTCTTGGAGATGAGAACAGAACCTTGGTCTGGATTTCCAGTCCCTGGCTCTTTCTGCTTCACCACACTTCACTTCCTCCCTCCCTGCATGCCGCTGAGGAACATGGAGGATAGAACTGAGTGGCTTTGCGCTGCAGGGTTTCCAAGCCACTCTCTAGATCCAAGCTGGGGTAATTTTGCACCCCCAGAGTTTTGGACTGGAACAAGGTTCATTTAAACCCAGTGGGATCCACATGGTTTCACAGCGAAGCTCCAAGCTGAGTCAGCTTTGCCCAAGGAGCCAAGGCCATGACTCAGCCATGGGGTGAGGGTGGAGTCTGGGACAAAACCCTCAACCAGGCAAATAGCTGGTGCTTTATACCCCACTTTCTTTGGGATCCCTCCCCCCGCCCTGAGTGAAGTTGACGCTGCCAAAGTGGGCTCTGCAGGCCAGGCTTGGCCCAGGTTCCAGGAACCATGGGAGGGACCCACTGGCTCCTGCCCATTTTAAAAGCAGACTGTGGGCTTCCTCCCAGCTCAGTGGGTCTGGGTTCCCCTCCGCAGTGGAGGGAGACATGGTGATGGAGCAGCCAGCAGTGGGGAACCTCCTTGTGCTTGGCTTTATGTACAGGAGCATATGTGCGCCTATCTGCTCCATGCCTGCTGTTTACCCGCTTCCTTCCAGTTAACGTATGTTTCCATTGCTGTCCATCTGTCTCGCGCACTCTCTCCATCTCTTACTTTCTCTTTGCTTTGCTCTCTTCCATGCACCAGCAGGAATCTCTGGGCCTGATTCCACAGCTGCCGCTGCAGCCAGTGGCAGTCACTAGCCCCCCGAGGCAGCAGAATTGGGCTCCCCTGGCTTGCTGTAATTGGATCAAGCTGCTCAGCCGGTGATGGCCTTGAATCGCTCTGGGAAGGATGTTGCTGGCCTTCCCCATGCAGACTCTAGCTGGCAAAGGGCAGGTGCTGAGAGCCCACAGCCCAGAGAGGAAGGGAACTCAGATGAATGGGGATGTCAGACATGTGGGTTTGGGCGGGGAGAGCGGTGGAGCTTAAAAGCTATTTTTTCTTCTGCTGAATGTTGATGGGTTTCTCATGTTACTCTGAGGTGCCCTGGTCCCCTGCCCCCTGGTGCAGCTGGTGCCCCATCACTGCCCTCCTGCTTTTGTGGTGCCTGCCCCCCTTGGCCTGCAGTGTCCCACCCACAATTCTGGAGCATAGATTCCGAGCTCACAAGCCAAGATCCCAGTCTCTGGCTGAGATCAGGGTGAAGACCTGGGAGCAGAGATCCAAGTTTGGGACGCGGGGTCTGCGTCTGGGGTGAGTGGTTTGGATTAGAGCTGAAAGGCTTCATTTTGGGGGTCTGGGATTGACTTCATTTTTGGGGAGTGGAGTGGGGGAAGGTTTGATTTTTGGCCTTCAGCTTTGAGGCAAGGCTCTTGGATGCGGGGTTCGCTTTTGGGCCCCGGTGAAAGGACGAGGGCCTGAGTTTTTGGGGTGGGGCTTTGGCTCTGAATTTGGGGTGACGGTTTGGGTTGCCGTTATCTCAACCAGCTCAACCCTCCTTGAGAACTAACTCCAAAACACGGTTCCCTCTCTGCTTGCTCTGGGCACAGCTGCTGTCTGCCCTCTCCTGGCCAGGCTGCAGCGAGGAGGCATCTCCGGGCCCTTCCCCACTCCAGACCTGTGGGCTTGGCTTTCCTTTCGCCAATCAGACTTCTAGGCTGCATGGAGGGTTTTGCCTTCCCCTCTCAAATGCAGATGCTGCCTTAGTGGTGTTCTCTGCTGCTAGCAGCTTTAGACTGGCGAGAGTTATAGCCTGAGCCCGGAGGAGCAAGACATCCGTGAGGAAGCCGCTGACACAGATGGGGTAACGCTTTCCTGACCAGGATCCTGCTTTTTTTCTTCTTTCTCTTCACCCTTGACAGAGACTCATCAACTCAGGCTAATAATGAGAAAATATTGTCGCATTTGTACTGCTTGGGAGCAGGGATTGTCTGGGAGGGAGCCGGCTGGAGTGGGGAAGCGAATGATTTAAGAGGCCAGGCGTGAGAAGCACAGATTACAGTGGCAGAGACCCAGAGCCAGGGGCTGTGAGGGAAAAGCCAACCTGAGTTGTTCTATTCTGGTTCTCGGGCCACGTCCATCACCGTGGAGTCTGGACACCCGTTACAGAAAATCAGCATGGGCTACCGTCATGAGCACCCAGCACCGGTGGGGTCTATTCTCAGCTCTGCCCTGACGTGTAGCATGGCTCCGCTTCTCCATGCCCTAGCCTTGCCCTCTGTAAAACGGGGATCATTGAAACCTCCCGACCAAGGAGGGGCCTTGCAGGGAGCAGGTAGTTAATGTTTGTGTGAGACTAAGTGAACCGTTGTTGCTTTGCATATTGCAGGTGGTGGGAGCGGAGAGAAGCCAGGCAAACCTTGACTGTGCATTCCTCCTGGGTCCATTCACGTCCCAAGGTTCTTCAGGACGATCGTAACATGGTGTGCATGGATGTCGTGCCTTCCATCCCATGGGATTCCAAAGGCAGGCTGCATAAGTCACAACGGCATTTAGCTTTCTCGGTGTACATCAATATATAGGTATAAACAGTCTGACAGATATATCAGCTTTTTGCCCATTATTGAAATGCAGCTACTTCTGGGCTGGAAGGGAGCAGCCATTTCCCAGCGCAGAGCAATGCCGCACAGGAGTTTAGGACAGCAAAGTCAAGACAAATTCGGTACTCAGTTGAAACTTCCAAGTTTTTAGCTTATCCAAATGCTGTTACCCAGGCAGGAATTTGCCTCCTGTTGAAAGTGCCATGGGGCCATTAATGATCTCAGGTGGTCAAGACATCATTTTTATGTCTCTTCTGCAAGGTCCGGTACAGCAGTGCCTCCTAGCATCATGCTGGGGAATTGCCTCTCTCCTAACTCAGTGGGAAGTTTTCCACTTCCGGAGTCCATGTCACCACACCCAAGAATGCCACGGCAAGGTGGCTGCTCCTGGCCTGCCACACAAATATGGCCCATATGTTTATGAATGGCATGCCTGGGCATCCCAGGGTGAAGATGGAGAGTGGGCAGCTGCCAGTCATTCCTGTGTCCAGATAGGTGGCTCACAGGGCCTCAGCAAGAATGACTGATGGGGGTGGTGGGGGGGGGGAAGAGTGCTGGTTCCCACTAACACAGGTGGGCAAACTTTTTGGCCTGAGGGCCACATCTGGGCATGGAAATTGGCGGTCCATGAATGCTCATGAAATTGGGGGTTGGGGTGCGGGAGGGGGGTGAGGGCTCCAGCTGGGGATGCGGGCTCTGGGGTGGGGCTGAGGATGACGGGTTTGGGGTGCAGGAGGGTGCTACGTGCTGGGACTGAGGGGTTCAGAGGGCGGGAGGGGGCTCAGGGCTGGGGCAGGGGTTGAGGTGCGAGAGGCGGTCAGGGATGCAGACTCCGGGTGGTGCTTACCTCAAGCAGTTCCCAGAAGCAGCGGCATGTCCCCCGTCTGGCTCTTACACGGAGGTGGGGCGCTGGCCAGGCAGCTCTGTCCTGTCTGCTGGTGCCACTCCTGCAGCTCCCATTGGCCATGGTTCCAGGCCAATGGGAACTTCAAAGCAGGCGCTTGGGGCGGGGGCAGCGTGTGGAGCCCCCTGGCTGCCCCTACGCATAGGAGCCGGACGGGGGACATGCCGCTACTTCCGGGAGCTGCAGCGCGCGTGGAGCAGGGCAAGTCCGGACCTCACTCCCTGGCAGGAGCTTGAGGGCCAGATTAAAAGGTCCCCTGCAAGATACATCAGGATGGAAACCACCCAGCTGACAGGTGGGTTATTCCCTGTTTGGATCTCTAGAGTCTGGTGTTCGGCTCCTCAACAAACAGGGCTCTGTGCTCCTGCTTCCATCAGCTGAGAATCCTGTGCAGGCATCTGCTCCGCAAACACAACTTCCCCGCACCCACACAGCTAGCACGGCCCCAAAGTGTGAGTGACTCTTCGCACGCCTGTCCCTTCATCTGTCCGTCTCCTGGCCTTTCTCTGCTCTTCCTCCATTGCTCTATTTTCTCCATTCTCGTTCACCCTCCCCCCACCCATGCGGAGCTCTCTTTCTCATCCATATTCAGAGACACGGTGAGACCTGCCTTGATTTTATCTGCTGTAGGAATACATTGATCCGCGGGCTATAAACCACGGTGTGCAGCCAGCAAACACAAGTGCCTGTAGTACTGCATGCAGCAAAAGGGCTTCCGGAGGGACGTCTCTTCTCCATCCCTGCCAGCAGCTTTGGAGCAGAACCGACTCCCAGCTTGGAGCTCCTGAGAGCTAAGGCCTCAGTGGCCCATGCTTTGGGAGTAAGTTTTCCCCCCTCCCCATGTACTGCGCTCTTCCCTTGAGCTGCAGTGCATGGTGGGAATGATGGCGATCATGTGGGTGAAATTCTGGCCTGGTTCATGTCAATGGGCCCAGGATTCCACCACATGAGTCATTGCATGGATGGGGGCTGGCTCCCCTCCAGGTCCCCGCCCCAGCTCTGTCACCCTCCTACCTGTCTCACCCAGGGGAGGGGGCATGGGGAGACCCCACCTCTTCCAAAGCTGGAAAAAAGGGAGAGTGGAAGGATTCAGGCAACCAGCTCCATTGAGCAGGATGTGATTCCTGGGTGCAGCATACACTGGCTCTCCCCTGGCTAACGTGGGGATGGGATGAGTTCCGATGGTGGAAGGAGATGGTCAGAAGCCCACGCGCCCTAGAGATCTGTGCACATCCCTGCTTGACTCTAAAATGCTTCTTGCTCACTGAACCCTTCGGGCTGCCGTGAGCCCAACCACAGGCCCACCCTGCCTCTGTGTAGAGAGCATGCCTTGCCACCTTCCTCATCCTGTAGGGCTCAGATACTCCACGGCTGTCACTGGGGTGCCTTAGAGAAGGATGCCCTGCATCTATCCACGGGAACAGCATGGGGAATAGCAGGGCAAGTCTCCCCTCACCACAGTCCCTCCAGCGGGCATCAGCTCAGAGCAGGACGGTCCGCCTGCAGTGACAGCGACGGAGGTCAGGCTCCAGGATCCACTCTGCCCGTGGCATCTCTGCTGAGCCTGCCCACAGGGTGGCTTATCGTTGCCAGCCGAACTGGTGGGGTTTTTGTGATGCGAATGCCTGTCCACAGGGAATGCAACCGGGACCCTGTGAGTAATTGCACAGAAGTGTCTGGAGAGGCAGTGGGCATGGGGGGGGGGGGTTAGAAGATGGCGTGAGCGAGATGTAAGGAGGAGCTAGGAGCATGGTTTGAGAGGAACGATCCACAGGATGGGAAGCAGTAGGTGTGAGTGAGTGCAGCAGAACAGAGGGAGGTGTGATTGGAGGCGCCGGGAGAGGGGTAGGCCTGGGGCAGCTGGTATGTATCTGGAAAGATGGTTACATCGGTTAACATGGTCATGGGGGAGGAGAGGTGGGTATGGGGCATGTATGACATGATCAGGGCTAGCCACAGCCTTGCAGAGCATGAGATGTGGTCAGGACGCTGACAGTGGGGCACCCCATCTCTAGCCCCCTTGCAAAGCAAATACCACCTCTGTGAGCTCTGGCCGTGACACAATAGCCCAGTCCCTGAGCCCTGAAGCAGGACCTAGGGAAGGAAGAAGCTGCCTTTGGCAGGCCATGGAGAGACAGCAGCCAGGCTGTGGGCCCATTCTGCGCCGGTGTGCCTGCGATACGGGTGGCGGGGAGAGGTGGATTCAAATGCAAGGCTGTTTCTGGCTGGCTGGTGGTTGGGTACCGGACTGGGCCACTGTGGGTGATGCTAGGTTGATGGTTCCACTGGCCCAGGAGCTAGGCTGCTTCTGCATGACAGAGACTGCTGTAAGTCTCTTGGCATGTGTCAGACCAGCTTCCCCGCACCCCCATCAATTACACTGCAGCACCTCAGCAAGCGGCTTCATTGCCAGGGGAGAGGAGTTCCCCAGCAGCCTCGCTTAAGTGGAGCGATTACTGCCACTCTTCACGCTGTCCCCTCCTCCATCTTCTTTTGCTCCCCCCTCTCTGCCTCTCCTCCATCCCTCCGTCTAATTTGTCATCTTCTGCTTCCCTTTGTGTCTCCTCCACTTTCTCCTCTCCATTTCTCTCTCTCTCGCTCCTCCATTCTGTCCCTTTCCTTGCTGAGATAGGAGGCTGCAGCCCACTCTTGGATCAGACCAAGGTTGCTGGTCTAATTCCCTCCTGGCGTGGGGCTGGCTGCTTGTTTCAGAGGCAAGTGCCCAATTCCTCTGACTCTCTGCTCTAATTGTGCTGACTGGAAAGGGCTGTGTCTGTCAGTGCTGCAGGGACGGGGTCACCCGGCTCTTGGCTACAGGGCAGAGCTGGCCCCTTGCTATCGACAGCACTGACAGCGTCCCATTCCTTAGACCCAGCTCCTCACTCAGCCTGGCCCTTGAGTCTGCTCCCTGAACTTTAATCCAGCCAATTAACTCATTTGCTTCTGGTCCTTCAGTGCACCTGCTGTACTGCCAGCACCCATTAGCCAAGCAGCAAGGACCCGGGGAAATCAGAACACGCTCAGCTGCGCAGCGGGGTCGTTCTCCTGGCTGATTCCAGTACTTAGAATGTAAGCTCCTTCGGGCAGGGACCATGGTTTTTTTCTGTTTGTACAGCACCTGGCACGCTGGAGTTCTAGATGCTTTTGTAATACTACTCACGATAATGCAGCCAGCCGCACAGTATGGGCCTTTCCCCTGCCGCACCTTGGATGATCAGCAGCAGCCCAGGGGAGAAGGAAAACCTGCCACAGGGAAGAGGACCCCTGCTCTCCTGTCAGATGTCTGGGGCTTTGTTCATCTGCTTGGCTAGCAAAAAACCCAGAAAAGCCTCCTTGAGAGAGTGATGCCAGTGTCTAGCTCTATTGGAACCCACCAGGGTGACTGCCTGGACCAAACACCCCCACCTGGGTTGGCTGGAATGTCTCACGTTATACACCGAGGTGCTGAATTCACTCACTGAGCCCTCCTCATTCTCTTTGGCTCCCTGTCCCCAGGTCCTGCTGCTGCACCGAGTTAATATTGATATTTTCCAGTCCTTACGTTTGCTCCAGCCTGACGGGTTTGTTAAATGTCTCAGGAGCCCGTGAGCCGTCTCTCTCCCTCCTCCTTTGGTTCTCTTGATGTTGTCACTCTCCTGTCTCTTCCACCCAGTATTTGCTTTCAGGATTTATTTGAACTGTAACAATCAAAGTGGGGAAAAAATACCCGGTCCCCCCGCAGCTCCTCCACTACTCCACCCTGAGCGCAGCACTGAGGGATGCCCTGACGTCTCTGTGAGGTACAAAGGCTCCAAATGCCTTATCCAAAAGGCACCTGCTTTTCTTGCAGGCTCACAATGCCCTTTGTGGCTGCCGCCTCCTTCTTCTCAAGGTTTTATTTATAGTCTGTCTTGCTCTCGCTTTCTCTCCGGCACAGCTGAGCTGCTGAACTCTTAATATCTTGGAAATGCTTCTTTGTCAGCTCAGCTATGCTCAGGCATTGGAAAGGTAGCAGCTAAAAGGGAGGAAAAAATCACCTCAGGAACTGCCAAGGGTCCTCACTAGCACCGCTGATTGCTTCAGCTGACTGCCCAGTGCTTGTGGGAGCTGGCACGGGGGA